TCTTTTGGGATAGTGATTTTGATGTTCTGTTCAAAAACATTTCGCTACTCTGAGATCAAAAGGGTAGTCTCTTGTGATTTTTTTGGAAGTTTTTTGTTTTACCATTCACATTTAGTTCATGATCCATTTGAGATTGTTGTTGTTTATGGTATGAAGCAGAGATTCATTTTTCTTGTATTGTTTTGAAGATTTTTGTGTCTGTGTATATGAACTGAGTTGGCCTATATGTTCTTTTATTTTGTTGTTCTTATATTTTATAGAAAAATATACTGTCTTATAAAAGAAGTTGACTAGTATTTCCTCTCTTTACACAAGCAGAGAGTTGGAGATTTGGCATTGTTTTTTCCTTAAATGTTAGAAGAATTTACTAGTGAAATTCATCTGAACCTGAAGTTTGCTTTGTGGGTATTTTATTATGGATTTGATTTATTTAATAAATGGAGGTCTATTCAAAGTTTATGTTTCTTGTTTTATTTTGTAAGTTTAGGCTCTTCTAGGTAATTGTCCCTTTTATCCAGACTTTCAAATTTATTGGTTCATCATACGTTTTTTGCTATCTATAGGATCTGTAATAGTAACCCCCTTTTCATTTCTGGTATAATAATTTATTCCCTTCACTCCTTTTATTTTGCTAGTTGTTAATTTTTTTTCTTTGTTTGGAGCTGGGGGTGTAGCCCAGTCGTATGCATGAGGACTCGGGTTCAATCCCTAGTACTAGGGGGCGGGGTTTGTGTTAGTCTTTTTAGATTCTTCTCTTGGAATTCCTTTTTTCTTTCTTTTTGAGACGGACTCACTCTGTTGCCCAGGCTGATCTTCTGTGCCAGTTGTCCTCCCTCAGCCTCTTGTGCCCCATTGCCACCAATAGCATTACTTTTTTATTGCAGATTTCTCTCCTATCTCATTGATTTTGGTTCTTAATTGAATTGCCTCTTTCCACTTTTTTGAGTATATTTGTTGTTCTTTTAGTAATTTCCTTATGTGATTCATATTCCACATTCTTAAATCCATGCATTTAATGCCACCAGTTTTAACATGCTGTATTGTCATTACTGATAGTTTGAAATATTTTCTAATCCTGTGGATTTTGTTTTTTGACCAGAAAAAGAGATATTATTATTATTATATGTACTGTGTTTATATATTCATAGACAATATTATGTAAGTGTATTTTAGATTTCTAGTGTCTTTCTTATTTTCCTGTTTCTCCTTTTACAGCAATGGCTGTGTTTGTTTGGTTGGATGTTTGGTTGGGTTTTTTTGTTTTGTTTTGTTTGCTTGTTTTTATATATGTTTTTAGTTGTTGTTGGACCTTTACTTTATTCATTTATTTTTATGTGGTGCTGAGAATCGAACCCAGTGCTAGGCAAGTGCTCTGCCACTGAGCCACAGCACCAGCCTGGCTGTTCTCATTTTAAGGATGGATTATAACTTACAAATCTGATGACATATTTGTGATGTTTTGAAATTTTCTGAATTAACTCTTTTTAGCAGGTTAAGTAGGGAACATGAGATTAATTGTTCTGCTTATATAGATTGATGACTTCCATACTGTTGATTTCCTCCAATTGCCAGGTGATRTATGTGCACTCACATTTTAAAATTCAAGTCTGGATTGATTGTCATTGGTAGCTGATAGGAATTTCCTTAAACATTGCTAAGGTGGCTACTTGGGCAAAGCTCATTTCTGCAGGTAGTAATTGAGCACAGTGTTCGGCAAGTGGACCTCACCCAGCTGTAACGTGGCTGAAGAAGTGCCCATGAGTAGACTTCCCTTAAGGTGTACGTACTGGAAACCAGCTGGGAAACTGGGAACTCTGTCAATTTTAGATGCAGGGAAGGTGTCATCTGAAAGATGATGTGCATTCAAGGATTTCTTTGCTTTTCTTAGTCAATTTTCTTTTTCCCCTATGTCCACTGGGACTTCCCAGAATTACCTAAGGCAATTCCCCCTTTCTTCTCTGACCCTGAGGGTAGCCTTYCATGGCAGACTCCCATCACTTTACATGACCTTGCTTGCCTACACCTGTGCTCTGGTAAGTGATGTATAGAGAGCAGGATAATTGTTCATATTTGGCAGTCTTTAGACTACCATGGCCCACTGTTTACTCCCGCTTCCATGCCCAGTTCTTCCTAACTTGGCCCTGAGAGTTTGTCCTGTCCTCTAGTGAGAAAAGAACACTCAAAATCTGTATTTAGTGGAGATTGGAGATTCCTTTGCTGTAGTGGCCAGAACATAGAGGCAGACCCAGGTCCCCCTTTTTTCCTAAATTCATTTTGCCTTTTTCTCCAATCCATATAGTCTCCTAAAAATTTCCTCAGCCCCATTACACTACCATTTCTGTCTCTGATATTTGAAAAGCAGTTTGTTAAAATAATTTAACTTTTAATACTATCATGAAGGACTGCATTCAGTGACTATATTCAGTCATGTTCATATAATTTCTTTCTCTTTAAGCATCACAAGTATTCCTTATCTGTTTCATGATGGAATAGAATTTTGGTTTCCATTTTCAGTGTATAGTCTCTGTCTTGTGGTAAAAATGAAAAAAATTAATTGTTTAAGGTTATAATTAATCATCCTATCTGCTTGAAAACTGTCAAAATAAATTACTTAGAACCAGGCCCAGTGACAGACACTTAAAATCCCACATATTCCCCAGGCTAAAGCATGAGGATCACAAGTTTAAAAGGCCATCCTGGGCATAAGATACCATCTCAAAAAAATAATAATAATAATAAAAAGAGCTGGCAAACATAGCCCAGAAGTAGGGCACTTGGCTAGCATGCCAAAAGCCCTGGGTTCAATCCCAAGTTGTAAATAAATAAATAAATAAATAAATAAATAAACCACTTGTCCTTGGTGAGAGCTAGTCCAAGTAGATGTAAGGGATCAAGATATTTTTTATAAGCAAATTCTTCATACTAGAGAATTGTATTTTTTTCAAGAATTTTATCCTGGAGCTGGAGTTGTGGCTCAGTGGTAGAGCACTTGCCTGGCATGTGTGAGGCCTTGGGTTCGATCCTCAGAACCGCATATAAATAAATTAATTAATTAAAAGATCAATTAAAAAAAAGAATTTTATCCCAATAGGACCTGATTTCCTTTGCTATAGTGGCCAGAACATAGAGGCAGACCCAAGTCCACATCCTGACCCCACCATTAACTCACTCCTGGATTCTAGCAGCCCAGTGGTTGGCACAGAGAGGTACCTTGGTAAATACTGGACAAGCGAACATGTAAAATTACTTAAATGTACAGGGCTTGGTTTCCTTATCTGTAAAATAGACATAAAAACGTGCTTACCTATGAATTACAGATAATTTATGTAAAACCTCTTGGCATATTGTAGGCATTCAGTTAGTGCTAGGTATGATAAAAATGAATTGTGTACAGAATCCTTTTATTAATATCAAGCAAGTTCTATAAATAAGTAGGAGTTTGCTGGGTTCAGGGGTCTGTGAGAAGAATTACCTGTGCAGTCCAGGTGCTTCAGATAGCATTTTGTTTTGTTTTTTCAGATTGAACTCAGGGGGCGCTCTACCACTGAGCTTCATCCCCARCCCCTTTTATATTTTATTTTGAGACAGGGTGTCACCATGTTGCCCAGACTGGCCTTGAACTTGGTGACCTTCCTGCCTCAGCCTCCCACATAGCTGGGATTATAGGCATGCACTCAGACTTGCTCATTCATTCCCCTCTTCATAGAAGCACTTGTAGATTGTTCCACAGTTTTGGGCTGGATCAGGATTTCAAGGGTGCGGGCACAGTCTTACAGAGCATACAAACTAGTGCGTCAATTGTCCACCGTCCTGACACAATTGAAGCACACTCCTAAGGAATAAAGCAAATGTGAGGCACGTCCTGAGGAGGAGGATGCAGGAGCTGGCTTAGTGTGTGGAAAGGTCATGTAGACATGCTGGTGTCCTGGGTCAGCAGGAACCTGGTGGTGCAGTAGAGAGGAGCCCTCTGCAGGCTGTGAAAGGTGAGGTAGGTTAGGGGAAGCGAAATCCCTTTGCAGGCCACCTTGGAAATTGCATGAACTTCATTTTGCTCTTTCTCAAAGACCTAACCAGTTAGTTCCTTGAGTGAATATGCTAACATTCCAGAGTGGGTCAGACCCATTAGATAAGGTATAGGTTAGCAATATTTATACTTTGAGGTGGTCTCCCTTGGCCTTTTCTTCTATCCAAAAATGAGAATTTGCACAAGTTAATCCAGATTTTATCAGATCACAGAGTATAAAAAAAGACCAGCTAATAGTTATAGACTTAGTTTTGTTTTTGGCAATTTCAAATATGTTCTCTCTCCTCTGAGCAAAGGCAAGCCCCTTTGTGGTATTCCTCCTCCTTTCCCCTAAGGCCTCTCTCCTTAGTAAGAAGACCTTCCGTTCTATTTAGAACTTGTTGAAGGGTTGTGGAATCAATGCTTAAATCTCTCTCTCTTTATTTCTAAAAAGTATTAAAGAAATATGTTAATCCCACCTAATTCAAGGCTGCCCACGATAGCACACAAGTTACTGAGACTGTGTATCACAAAGAAATGTTCTTACTGTGCTGAGGATGTGTGATCTTGTTTCTGCCTTTCCACCTGCCTGTCCTCCTTCCTTGCTTGCTTGCTTCCTTCCTTCTCTCTTTCCTTCCTTCCTTCCACCCTCTTTTTCTTGCTGTTGTGAATAGACAAGCTGTTTTGTTTCTGGTGGAAAATGAGCGCGTATACACTTTGTTTTAGAGCCTTCATTGTTTCCTCCAGTTGCTGGAATGTCTGCAGCAGTGGTCAGTTAGCACTTATAGTAAAGTAGTTGGGATTAAATGTAAGGCAACGGCTTTGATTCCATTGTCCCCTGCTTTATTTATTCTAATATGTGTACACTGATTGAAATTTCACTTTTTAAAATGTCATAATTTAGGAGTTCTCTGTTATTTAATATGATCCCAAGATGTAATTCTCTAAAGAAGGGGATGGCAAATTATTTTAATGCTTTTATTGTTTTTGTTTCTAGCTTATTCTACTAAGCTCAACAAATTTCCTGTATTTAATATTAATGATGACTTGAATGATCTGTGTACCAGTGCAGTAAGCCCAAACACTACCAAAGCCACGCGGTACGCCCTGAATGTGTGGCGATATTGGTGCATGACCAACGGGCTCAAAGATCATACGGATATCACCAAGGTAAGGGACTCTCGAGTTTACTGTTTTCCAGCCAACTTCACTGAGCTTCCAAGTGTCGGCCACTGTATTAAGCATTGTGGCAAACAGAGAACAGTTGCTTTCTAATGGGGAAACTTGGAAAGAACATAAACTACAAAGAAAAATATACACAATACAGAGCAGGATTTAGTACATTTTTATGAATTTACAGAAAAGAAATGCCTGAAAATAAATACAGATAAATTAATTTCAGCTTGGTGAGAGTATATAGAGAGAATTGGTATTTAATCCGAATTTTGAGGGAGAGGTGGATTTCAATAGGATTAAACAAGGATGGGAGTTTTGTAGGTTGAATGGTGTGAGGAAGAGAAAAATTGAGACGGATCACCTGCCTACAGCAAAGACTTCATATATGSGTATAGTAGACTATAAACAATTGTGATAGCCCTTAAGTGCCACGCTGAAGGCCTAAACACTGGAAAATCACTGAAGTTTCTTTCTTGATTTTATTTTTGGTAAGGACAGATTGTATTTGAAAGAACTGTTGTAGGGTCTAGCCATCAGAGCTGCAAGCATCTTAAGAATGAGACCAAAAGGAAAACATTAAAGTCATTTGAGGAAACAACATAATGAAATGATATTTGAGAGAGAAATTAATTGGAAAATGATATGTAAAAAGTTATTTAACCTCTTTGTGAAATTCTTAAAATCTTTTCTCTGAAATATTTCAGGTTTGTGAATGGCAGGATAAAATCTTGGACATGTGGTGACAGAGCAAAAACTACCGTGTTTTGATTTAGACATACTGATTCTGAATCAGATGTCCAGATGGATGTGTACAGTAAACAGCTGGAACTGTGAGGTTCAAAACCTGTTGGAGATGCTCAAGCTCCAAGTATAGATTTAAAGGTCTTGCAAATAGAGTCATAATTGAAGCCCAAGGGCAGGCAAGATCTCAGAGTTTGAGTAATGTACCAGGGGAATTATTAAGAGTTGAAATAGGAAACCCAGTTTTCTTTATCTGACACTACTGAGCACTTGGTAGTATGAGCTACCTTTCTCTTATACCTCAGGAAGGGAACATCCTCCAGGAGAAGAGAGAGAGAAAAAGGTGAAAGAGGAACAGTAAGCACACATGAAAGAGGGTTCTTCCTGAGTGTGCATGTTGATAACATTGTTAAGGAAGGAAGAGTGGTAGATGAACTGAAGAATCCTTGATTAAGGCGAGGACCCTGAAAGGGTTCTAAAGAGGGTCCATGTCAGTAGCATACCCTGGATCCTAGCAGAGTTATAGGCTAATAATCTCTCAAGGGAACCATACAAAACCTATAGGTATTGGGTTTTTTTACAGATTAATTGGGGTTTTTACAGGTTTAAATATGTGCATGTTTTTAAAATTCACCAGTCATTCAGGAAATAAATGATGAATGATGATGAGTAAAAACAGCAAACAGATTGAGATACCAGAGACTTCAGTGAGTAAATTATAGTTTAACTATGTATGAAATTTTTATGCAAATAACAGAAAGCATAAAATATTCAACAACATACCAATCAAAATGATCCAGCAAATTTGAAAATAACTTGAAATTTATACTTCTGGCCATGAGAAAAAAGCATCCAAAATTAACCTCCTGTTTTAACAACTAGAAAACTAGATACAATACATGAAATAATTCTTTTCAAACAGAATAGACAGCACAGGATGTGATCCTTAAAACAGAGGAAACAATTGAGAGAAGAGCCATTATCTCTGAGACTAAATTAGAGTTTGAGGAAGCTGAGGACATGACTACACTAGCAAGAAATGTCAACTCACTGGAAAAAACTGATAAAATATAAACTGTGTAAATTTCATAATTTCTAGCATCCATTCAGATTTGACATAAACATAGGAATATCTGATCTATTCCCAGGAGAAAAGTCAACTAAGTCTTTTACTTCTAGCCAATTGTAAGGGCCAGATTTACCTTCATGCTTTTAATAACAAAAAAACTAACAAAAATATAAAAATAAAACATGATATTTTTCAAGGAACTTTATAGCACTTTGTATAACAAGCACAGAATAACAGTGATCTCAGAGAGACAGGAAACAAACAAGGTTATTCCTATGAGTGCCCCAGTTTTCTGACTTCAAAGATTAACAAGTCTGTGGTGCATGGAGGGAAATTCAAACAGAGCCCAACAGACTCACTGAGTTGAAAGAATGGAGCCGAGAGTCCAGGGAGACCAAGGTGGCTAGAGTTGTCATGACAGAACTCAAAAGTAGAGGGGTGAACAGAGAGAAAACCCAAGATATTTAAAGATGATCTCTTCAAATATTTAGCTGAATACTATCAGCATGTGCATGTGAGGAGACCACTTGATACTCGCAAAGAACTATCTGAAAGGATCAGTAACAGTACCTGGCACACAGAATTGGAAGCAGTATGGTTCACCAGCCAGACTGAAAAATCCCTCAGGATGCATGGAGGAGAATACTCAGTAGGTGTGAGGATACTCAGTAATATACATTTGTATATGTGATATGAGGTAGGGGTATGAGAGTATTAAGTATTGAACTTTAAGATCTTTCTGCTTAGCACCACTTATTTAGGAACGATACTCTCCTGCAGTCCACATGGTTACGCAGAAGCCATCACATTAAGTATAGTGGAACACCTTCTCATGAGTTGTTGGGTTAAGAGTGGGTTGAGTAGAATCCTTTCAGATTTTTTTTTCCCATACTGAAAATAAGAGCTGGTCTCTTTCTAAACCTGCTGGTCTCTTTCTAAAACCTGAGGAGTGTTAATGGGCTATCTTTATAGCTATATGAAGAAAGCCAGTCTTTAAGAGAAGCAGTGATGAGAGAGAGTCCTGATAAACTTGGAGTCTACTTTAATACTGATATCCCTCTTTGGCTAGGCTTGTTCAAGTTTGATATTTCTCTTGCACCAAAGGAGTCCCAATTAATATAAAGAGAAGTTATATCATTATATCATCTTTATGATAGGGAGTTCTGAATGACAATATAAACATCTGAAAGTAACTGAACTTGAGTATAATGGTTATTAGGAAAGTATTTTTAACTGATTATTGATAGTATATAAGAAAACTATTCTCTTATTTTGTATACAGTTGCCCTACTCTTTCCAATAGCTGTTGAACTGAATCTGAGTTTCCTAGACTAACAGATTATCAGAAAATAATTATATTTTGTCATTTTCCCTTCCTGTATACTACGTGTGTGTATGTTTGTGTGTGTGTGTGTATGTATGTATGTATAAGAGAGAAGGCAGGGTTAGGTAGGTAGGTAGACATAGATATTTATTTTTCTTGTCTTACCTGGTTGCCTGGAACTTCCAGGAATGTGTTGTATAAGAACAATAATATTCAATATTCAGTATGCTTATCCTACCTCTGTTTTTTTTTTTTTTAACTGGGGCACTTAACCAATGAGCTAAGTGTCCAGCCTTTGAACTTGCAATTTTCCTGCCTCACTTTCCTGAATTGSTGGCATTATAGTCATGCACTATTGCACCTCCTGCCTGTAACTTTCTGAGAAAGATTTTAATGTTTTCATTGTGGGTATGATTTTTATAGTTCTTGTCTGTAAATTACTCTTCATTATAATAAGAGGGGTTTTTTTTCCCTTCCAATCTCAATTTATTTTTTATTTTTTTTTAAATTTATTTTTTAAATATGAAATGGATATCTCATTTGTTCAAATAAATTTTCAATATCAAGTTCATATTACCTTTCTTCATAATGTATGAATGTCGATTCTATTAAAATATTTTAACGTTAAATCATCCTTGTACTTTAATCATTCCCTTCTGTTTTTGATGAGTATTTCCATGCTGTAGTCATTCATATATATTTTTTTTCTTTCTTTATTTTTAGGTGTTGATGGACTTTTATTTTATTCATTTATTTATGTGCAGTGCTAAGAATCGAACCCAGTGCCTCATACATGCTAGGCAAGCGCTCCACCACTGAACCACAATCCCAGCCCATCCATGCTATGGTCTTGACTGTGACTTGATAATACAGTCCTTGTTATAAGATGCCATATTACCTGGAACTTTTGCATATCAGCCATTCCTCACTTTGTATGGTACCAGTGTACACACATTATATTTGACATGTTAATATGCAAAATGAGAGTTGCAGTATTTTACTTAGGAAATTTTATATTTATATTTATAAAATTTTTTATTTATATTTATATTTATATTTATAAAATTTATATTCATATGCTTTGTTTGTTTTTGGTTTTTGTATACTATAGATCAAATTTGAGTTAGAAACAAAATGAAGAACATATCTTTTTCATGTGCCCCAAAACTTTTTAAATTCAAAGGACTTGGGAGTAAGCTCAGTTGTAGAGTAGGAAGTAAGCACATGCAAGACTCTGGGTTCAATCACCAGCACCACAAAAATAACAATAAAATGTTAAATAAAGACAAAAGAAAAGCTCAGTTGACTCCATAAAGTCATCTCTTTAGGAGTAGCATACATTTTTCAAAATCATTTTACTCCCTTCTCTTGTTTGGAGTTATTTAGATCTTTTACCTCTGATTGAATAGTATGAATTTTGTAATCCATATTTTGCTAGAAAATTGTTTGGATTATGTAGATTTTTCAAATTAAGAAATATGTGATATTCTTTCATATTCTTTATTAATTCCATAGTCTCTTTCCTAATATTGCTTAAATGTATACTTCCTTTCTGCTTCTTTTCCCCTGTCTATGCTAGAAGTTGTTTTTTTTATTGTTGTTATTGTTCTTTTTAGGTAAACATGGTAGTAGAATGAATTTGACATATTATACATTCTCAGAGTATGACTTCCCATTCTTGTGGTTGTACATGATGTGGCATTTTACTGGTCGTGTATTCATATATGAATATAGGAAAGTTATATCTTGTTCATTCCACTGTCTTTCCTATTTCCATTCCCCTCCCTTCCCTTTATTCTCCTTTGTCTAATCCAACGAGCTTCTATTCTTCCCTCCCCTGCTTATTATGTATTAGTATCCGCATATCAGAGAGAGCATTCAGCCTTTGGTTTTTCTGCTAGAAGTTTGGCAACTTTATAAAAATATTCTTTTCAAAGATGGCATATTTTCTTTTTTTTAACCTATCCTAATTTTATCTTTCCTACTTAATTAGGTTATTTTTATTTATATTGGCTTACTCTACTATTTTTTAATTTGGTTTACTTTTTATAGTTCTTGGAACTAAATAATGAATTTGCTCATTGAGAATAAGGTTTTCTAAGAAAGTCGTTCAAAATCATTATGTTACTGGAGTATATTTAATAATATCATACATTTTGACATGTAATGTCTTTAGTTGAGTTCATTTTTTTTAAACTAAAGCCTTTTTTTTAAAAGATTCTTTTTTTAGTTGTCAATGAACCTTTATTTTATTTATTGATACATGGTGCTGAGAATTGAACCCAGTGCCCCACACGTGCTAGGCAAGTGCTCTGCCACTGAGCCACAACCTCAGCCCTAGTTGGGTTCATTTTTATTGCATAATTCACCTTTTATTTTCTCTTTGACTCAGACACAAGGGCAATTAGAAAAATAAATGTTAACTCTACAATTTTACTCATTAAAATTTTTCTGTTTGGACTTTTTTTTTTCCCTAAAGAACTTAACCTTTATTTATTTATTTATTTTTTGTTTTGTGKTTTTTTTTTTKTKTGTGTGTGTGTGTGGTACTGAGGATCGAACCCAGAGCTTCGCCCACATTAGGCAAGTGCTCTACCACTGAGCCACAACCCCAGCCCTTGTTTGGAGTTTTTTTGTCCCAAGGAATGTATGTTTCAGTCTGACCTGATAATAAACAAGGTTTCTTTTTTTCTTCATATAGTTCCCTCTTGAAAATAAAGCTTTCTTGCTAGCCAAGCTTTCTTCTCTTCCCATAATACTAAAATAAGAAGCCCACTCTATCACTATAGCCATTATGATTTTCCTATCATTTAACATTGATATTGAGACCCTGTGGAGTATTAAGCAAGAGATATTTCAGTTCCTATTCAGATAAATCAAGGAGTGGAAAATCAAGGAGCATTAATTTGTGACCCAAAATGGCCATGTCAGTTGTCTTCCCGACAGCACTGCATTTCTGCGCACACAGAATAACCAAGTGTGTGCGTAGATATCAAGGAAGTTAATGTTGGAGTGATTTGGAGCTTTAGTTCAGGAATCCCTCAGAGAAAATGACTAAGTTTTAGTAAAGGGGAAGGAAGAAATTGATTTGCAGCAAAGAGAAAAAAGTACCTTTTAGGAATAGAAAAAGTTCCTAAAGGCCAGTAATAACAATAGTTTATATGTATGTATGTACTTSCAGACATACGTGTGTATGTGTATGTTCATTACTATTTACAAACCTTTTCATGGTCCGTTACTTTAAGCATTACTGCAGTCCTTTGTGGTGGTCTCCATTATTTTGCCCTATTCTGCAGATGGAAACACTGAGGTTCAAAGAGATTAGGGAGCCAGATATGGAACCCTGATCTTCTAATTTGAAATTCATTGTTCTTTCTACCATGTCATGCTTAGGGTCAGCCCTCTAATGGCCACAGTGTGTCCTCGGCATAGTAGAGCTCCCACTGAGGATTAGAAGGGAGGAAGGGTCTGGCTGTTTGGGTGTCCTCTGTGAGTAACCTCAGTGTTTGTCTCATTTGAGATCCCTGCAGTGAAGTTGAATGAGCTGCTGGAGAACTTTTATGTCACTGTCAAGAAAAGTGACGGCTCAGACTTCCTGGCTACCTCACTCCATGCCATTCGCCGGGGCCTGGACCGCATCCTGAAGAATGCAGGTGTGGGCTTTTCCATCACCAGCAGCACCTTCAGCTCTTCTACCAAGAAGCTCAAGGAGAAGCTGTGGGTGCTGAGTAAGGCGGGGATGTCGGGCGCCCGCTCTCGAAATATCGTCTACTTCTCCCTTTCTGATGAGGAGGAGATGTGGCAGGCAGGGTGTCTGGGGGACGACAGCCCCATCACTCTTCTGTCCACTGTGGTCAAGTACAACAGCCAGTACCTGAACATGCGGACGCTGCAGGAGCATGCAGATCTGATGTACGGTGACATAGAGCTGCTCAAAGACCCACAAAACCAGCCCTACTTTGCCCGGACAGACAGTGTCAAGCGGGAGAGTCGGAGTGGATCCACTAGAGTGTGTCATGGGAAGATCTACCATGAGCATTCCAGAGGACACAAGCAGTGCCCTTACTGCCTCCTCTACAAGTACATGTACATCCACCGGCCGCCCACCCAAATGGAGGCCAAGTCCCCCTTCTACCTTACTGCCAGGAAGGAAGCCACAGACATGGGCAATGTGTGGTATGAGGAGCAGAGGATGGGACTGCGTTCTCTTCGAGGAATTGTCCCAAACTTAGCCAAGAAAGTCAAGCTGGAAAACTGTGAGAACTTCACCTTCGTCTCATTTACTCAGGTCTCCAGGAAACTTGGCTCCCACAGCTGCTGCCAGTGAGCCTGGGTGCAGGCCACTGCCCTACTCCCCCTTGTAGGTGAGAGCTCCCCCAGGTGGCCAAGCCAGAGTCAGCAGCAACCCAGAGCTCTGAGGAGGCAGCTGCTGACCCTGTGTAACTCCAGGCTTAGACTAGTCTCCATCAGTGTGGCCTGCTAGTCCTCTGACTTGGAGTTTGTTTTTTGAATGAAAGTAGATAAATCTGAATAATTTGGATGTGTTATCCAAATGTGTGTTACCTTTGTTAAATTGTAAAACACAGTGTATAATTGCTATATATGAGAATGAGGAAATTCATATTATCTAGTGCCTTTTTAGCACAGGTTTTCTGGAAAAAAAGAGAAAAAGAAAAAAAAAGGATACTGATTAAATAGTTATTAAAAAAAATCCCAGTAGCCCAGTAGCTTTAGATTGTTAGGAAGACTATACACTTTGTTGAATTACACTCACAGTAAGGAATTAGAAAGAGAGAGACAGACACATTAGAGAAAAATTGCACCTGACACTCCTTTATATTTTGTTGGTGGATAACTTGGCTGTGTAAAGCAGGCAGCCTTGCTAGAGAAAACTCTAGAGTGCCTGCCAGGGAGGCGGGGGCTGCTCAATGCAGTGAAAGGATCGATCTCTGCTGTCAAGGTAGACAATTTTATGAAAAGAAGATTAATGCACCAAAAGGGTGTTTGTGAGAACAAGGTTTTCAGTGAACTAGATGGTTCATACCTTGAGGGAATTTCTAGTAGTGAAAGAAAATGACTTAGAAAAGCCACCTGTGATCAAAATGTGAAAACCTCCTGACGCAGAAGTGCCTATGTCTTAGTTCTCAGCACTACATGAGAGTGTTTTTTTGTGTGAACATATTTAGTGTTTTTTAACCCCTTCTTCTTATCATACAGTTGTTCTGTCAGCATATAGCACTGGATTTGTAAACAACTAACAGTAACATTCAGGCCCACCTAGGAAAATTCAACAAAACAAGCTGCAAAGGAAACAGATCCCCAAATGTGTTTACTAAGAGGTTTGAGATATTTTTTATCCAAGTATGACTTTTTCAGCCACAGTGTCATCATTTTAGGTTGGCACCAATGCTCGCAACACTATAATTTAAGAAACCTACAAGGTAAGCAAACCCAACAGAAAAGATGTAGTGGTAAAATCAGAGCATAATGATAGGTTATTAATGCAGTTTGAAACCATTTCACTCAGGTCAAATTCAGCCTGACTACATATTATTTAAATATCAGAAATTTCTAACAATTATTCTGAATGCAACTAGAAGTGAAAAAGGAACCCAAAGAGTGCTAATTGATAATAATATTAAGTTCTAGGTATCTTTATTTGTATTCAAGTAAAGACTGCTCTAACTTTATACCATTATGTTCCTGTGTATGCTTTCTAATTCCAAATTAAAATTCCAACACAAATTCATTTTGTAGGAGTCTTAAAATCCTTTTTCTTTTTAAAGCATTATCTTAGTATTTTTAATTGTTTTAAAAATCATTCATTGATCATTAAAATATGTGATACTTTACCAGAGAAGACTCAACCAATGCTGCCTTAAGGTCTAAAGTTGTTCCCTTTGTAATTAGTGCACATATATAATTTGTTTACTAGTTTATCTTTCCTGAGATTAGTTTTGGTGTATCTTCATCTGTATATAAATAACAGGTAATAGTTAATAATCACTGTTAAAACTTTATTACATACTGTTCTGTCATGGTTTCTTATAGTGATTTTAGAGTCTTAATTAAGAAGAAATAGACACAAAACATTAGGAATGGTTTCCTTTCATTTGCTAAACACCCAAAGGATATTTTGTTGGTGGAAAGCAAATGGTCATTTTCTTGTCAGTTCTGCATTTAAACTGAAGTTTAACCTATGTGAACTTTCGGCAGAGCCTGCAGCCCAATTAAATAAACCCTCCATTTTTATTTCAAATAGATTCAAGAAGAAATTGCCATTAGGAATCACTGGGATCTTTTCAGATTTTTACATTTCCAAAAGTAGCAATAACTGAGCCAGCAGTTGTAATTGTCCTGTTTGTAGCTGTCTGTCAGCTCAATAACCATCTCTTCCTCAGATATGCTGTCTATCACTTATTTGATAAATCCCCAGAGTTCTGAAGTGAAGGATTATAATAAAAAGTCAGGAGGGCAAATCTTCAGTGACAGCTGATGGAATGAAAGGCCTGTCTCAGCATCACCTGTCTCCCTGGGGAGTGGGTGTGAGGAAGAAAGCACATCCACCTGTTGCTACCAGGTGCCACCCACTGTACGAGGTACTTTCCCTCTTGTRTATTTGTGTGTGTGTGTGTGTGTGTGTGTGTGTGTGTGTGTGTGTGTGTGTGTACACGCTTCAGATTTGCATGTGGTAAAGCCTGGCAAGGCTGCTAACTTGGCAAAGCACCTATCCATGCGTATGGCCATGCCTGTCCTCAGGGGACCTTCAGGGGCTAGGAGAGCTTATTCTAGCTGTTCAGCTGAGGCAGTTGTACTGTCCTTCCAGTTGGYTCTCTACCATTCATTCCCCCTGAATACCTTGATTTTCTGCTCTTGACCTAGGCAGAAAGAAAGATTCCAAGAGGAGTGGGAGGTTAAGACATTTTCTCCACTTTGGGGTTTTTGTACTCTCCAGCTGGAATAAATGTCAAGAACTTGCAAGTGTGCCTAGATACAAGTTGCCTCTGTCCCTGCGTGGGGAATGGAGGTATGGTAGGAGAGGACCTGTGGAGTCTTAGGGAGAGCCTACACCTGTAGCACCTTCTGTGTCTGCTCCAAAAGGAGCTCTGGGTACCACATTCCCAGAATGCAGTAGGCCTTCCTGCTAGGAGCATAGATTGGTAGAGATGATAGGGTGTCACTTGATGGGTAAGATCTGATTAGACATGAAGAATTCAACACAGACATCATAAGCATGCAGTGTCACTTTTTTAGTTACAACTTTTCACAATAATTAATATTTTCCAGCTCATCTGCATTAGGCCACTTACTTCTTTCATTATGGAGATTCTTTCTTTCTTAAACTGCTAAACTTGGAAGAGGAAATCAAACTCAGTAATCTGGTCAAGTTAATGCATTTATGCCCATGAATTCTACCTCCACACAACCAAGCCCGGATACCTCACATATAAGCAAAAACAAGGAAGAACAGAGACGCCTTAAGAGGCTTTATGAAAAGTTTTTCCATTGTTTTGTGTGTTTGCAAAAACAAAAAAAAAAAATAGGAATATTATGGAAGTAATCTAACCAAAGCTGTGAAAAAAAAATGGTCTTCTTGGTCATGTGGCATTGTCCAGCTTTCCTTGGATTGTATTCATTAGTCTGCCCTAACTGATAAATGGTGTTTGAAGAAATGTGAAACTCTGTTACTCTCATTTTTATTTTAATTCAGTTCTTATTGAAAGCATCAAGCATTATCTGCATGTTCATAGACACAGTGATTAACAATCTAAATGAAGTATTATTTGTGTAAAAACTGAAGCTTCTTGATGAAGTTAAAAGATTACTGGGAGCTGCTTGACTGCTTCATTTAGGCAAATTCTGGTGTCACTGTCCTTAGCTCTGAAGTGCGATCAGTGGAATGAATCATCTCCACAGTGAACAATGTTACCTTCTAAGAAGCAGAATGTTGATTAATTTTCTCAGTTTAGGTTAATACTAGCCACATTGTTATTACTTAAATAAACAGCATTTAAAATGTATCCTTATCAAATATGCAACACTTTGTTGCTTTCATGAGATATGGATTACTAAATAATTTTGAGCTAGTAACCAGTTAACTTAAGGTATCAMTGAATGTAAACAGTGAAGATTTTGAAAAAGAGTTACTTCCTTTTCTCTAAATGCTCTTCAAGTTGCAGCCCATACACATTTAGAAGTTTAAAGTTCCAAATAGAATGTATTCAAAGTTTCAAAGTTGTATATATGTTAAATAGTTTTTACTTTGGGGTGAATTTTTAGTGCTGTGTGCTAAAATATTCAGTTATTTAGTCAGTGTTTGTAGGTAAAGATCTTTGTTGTATTTTCCCATGAAAATGAATAAATTAAAACATGAGGCAGGTGGATTGGTGACCTACACTCCACTCTCTTTCTGAGAGAATGATGGTTAAACTAACATACCTGGAAGATTCTATATCTGATGTCACCAGATTTCCCAAAACTCCCCTCTGAGGAAGGCTCCCATCCTTGGAGCAAGCTTTGCCTGTTATTATGATCATGTACTTCTAGTTTTGTTTACAGTCCAAGAATGCAGAGACATTCCCCATGTTTCATTGTTGATCAGAATCAGATTGTTAAATTAAAGCATTTTATTAATGATCTAATGCAGCAAATATGGAAACTAACCATTTCAGAAAATATGACCAAAAACTTGTTGGATAATCTGTGGATGCATAGTAGTTCATTATTATTAATAGTGATTTGATAACCCCCTCCCCCATTGAGAGGAGAACAAGCTTCTAAATATTTTATAGTCAGTATAACTGGTTGATTAATTTGCACTTAACTGTGCTTATTGTTACATCTACTGATTTATTAAAAGCTTCTAGGGCTGGGATTGTGGCTCAGCGGTATAGCGCTTGCCTAGCACGGGCGGGACCGGGTTCAATCCTCAGCACCACATAAAAATAAAGGCATTGTGTTGTGTCCATCTACACCTAAAAAAATTAATATTTTTTTTTAAAAAAAGCTTCTAGAAGAATCCAGAAACTGCATCAATCAGTTAAAACATGGCTATTTAGTGAACTAAGCAACATTGCTATTTCACAGAAATGTCTGCCAAAAAATTGAAATTGTTATTTGGCTCTTGTCTAGACAATGCCAGAAAATCTAGATTTTAAAAAATATAGACAATAGGGCTGGGGATGTGGCTCAAGCAGTAGCACGCTCGCCTGGCATGCGTGCGGCCTGGGTTTGATCCTCAGCACCACATACCAACAAAGATGTTGTGTCCGCCGAGAACTAAAGAATAAATATTAAAAAAAATATATAGACAATATAATTTTTTCTATATTTTTGTCACTGTTTTAAGTTGAGAAAGGGCATTTATTTAACTTCATTATTATACACTAATGGGTATTAAAATCAGTAATTCTGAAAAAAAGCTTCTAGAAGTTTCAGATCTATCACTGTGCTAAGGGTTTTCTCACAGCTGCCTCATATTTTCATAATAGTTCTGCAAAGTGCATTTAATTATTCCATTTTGCTTATTAAGAAACTAGGACTCAGAAAAGTTAAACTTCCCACAGCAATACAGAGCTAGTAAGTTGAAGAACTTAAATTTGAAGGCAGATCTTCTGACTCCAAATCCAAAACTCAGTCTATAAGAAAAAGCTGCCTACTTTAGGCCCATAGAGGTCCATTTAACTTTTTTTAAAAAGTTTCATTCGTCACTTCGTACCGTTTAATAATTCCCGAAAAGCCTAATGGTTTTCAATGAATGAATATAACACTTGTGCCTACCAAGAA